TTTTTACTCAAGTTACAGCTTGCACGGACGGACTTACAGAGAGACATCCGGATTTCAACTCTACTCGTCACCCTGATCACTTTGGTATATATAACCCTATATCTGACTCTGAAACTCACCTTCCAAGTGAAACCGAAAAATCACATGTAGTACATCAGGACAGTTAGCCTATGAGACTACATGGTTTCCTCGGGTAAAAAACAGACTTTTTTCAAGAACTTTTTTTCTCATATAAAAAATTAAATATTTTATTAAAATTTTTATTGTTACAACATACACTATTAGCAAAGAAATTCTTAAACTTTTGGAAAATATTTTAAACTCAGCCATTGGGACGCTATTTCCCTTCGAAAAAAAAAATTGAGCCCGCATTTGATTTAAAGTGGAGAAATACGTGTTTTAGTTAAAACCTTAATTTAGATTTTGGACTAAGGAAAAAAAACTGAAAATTGGATTTTTAGCAGACATTTTTATAAAAAACAAGAAAATTTCTCGACATTTTTTTTAAAATTGGTGTAATCGAAAAAAAAATCCTTCGTCTAGAGGTGTTGTAGAATGTAATAAGACAATAAAAAAAAACGATTGTTAACCCATGTAACCTCTTATATTGACTTGAAAAATCTTTCGTTATTTTTGCTACTTAAACTCAATATTTGTTATCTTAGCTTTGCGGAGAGCTTACATTTCGTCTGCAATCACAAGTATGGTAATATAAAACGCTGCAAATAAGAAATACATTTCTACAATATTATCTTTATTGAACATCTAAGTGCACTATAATAAAAGCTGTTACCACTTGTTCTTATCGAATATCTTTGTTATTGTTATTTGCTTTAATAAACAAAATAGGTGTTCATTCAATTTTAATACCACGGCTGTTGGCGTTGACTTCATCAAAATTTGTTTCAATATATAATTATAAACAGTTGTATGTGTGTTTGTATATTTAGTATGTGATCAAAATAAAAAAAAAAAATTGGACATCAGAAGTTATTAATCGGGTAAATTGTTTTCATAACGGAACGAAAAAAGTTGTCAATATCGCATAAAATCGCTACTGGTAAAAAAGTGAGAAAGCAATCGTGCCGCGTATTTTCGAGAAATGGTAAAATATCAATTTCGATAAGTTATTCGATTTTTGTTTTTTGAACGGAAATCGCGCTGATTTGTTAGGAATGAAATCAAAGCTGAAATGTGTACAATGACCTTCCCTTTAGATATTAATCGTCGAAAATTGGTTTAACGAAGTTTAGCGAGATCGCACGACGATTTTTTGGATATGTTATGTTAAAGAGGCGAAAGTCCCCGGTATCATATGAGCAGATCGCTAGTTAAAGATGAGCGAGATAACAGAGCTGTTACAAATAGTTATGTTCAACAGTCGGCGGAAATCCTCTTCGCTATACTCTCTTCGTTGACTGGGCAATAGACGTCGCTGCTGACATCATTACGGCGTAACTAATGGATTAGTTTCCAGAGGGTGACGTCTATCCATTCTGCTGTTCCTGGTAACTTGCTTTACATTTAATACTGGGTGATGAGTTGTATATCCAATTCTGCCATAGCTATTTAGGTACCTGACAGTAGGTATAAAACGCTAGCGGTAGAGATTCTTTGAAAACAAAACTCAGCGTGGAGGTCGAAAAGGAAGAAAATCATTATGAGATATCAGCCTAAACTTTGATAGGAGAAGTGTATGCTAACACCGGCGAGCAACTACACTTTGCAAAGTAGAGCTGCTACAGTGCTTAAGACTTCAAAAGTGTCAGCAATCCGGAAAAAGAAGCTTTGCGACGCTCACCGGAGGATGCTAAAAGCGATAAAGACCAAGACCGAGTTCAAAACCTAGTAAGAAATTGTTGGAAGCAAAAGCAGCGGTGAAAGTCTACTGCAAGTCCAATGGAGGAAGACGAAATGTTAGCTTGAGCAACGCCAAAAATTGACAAAGACCGAGCGTACTTTGTATCGCGGTCAAAATTCACATCCACGTATGCGAGTTTCACAAATCAGCTCGAGGAAAGAATCTCAGTCAAAAGACAGTGGCAAGCTGACACAAACGAATAAGAATTAATATCAGATGCTGAACCCTCTAATTTCAACTTCTATTAAATAAAAGTAAAGATTTTATCTCGTAATCACTATATAGCTGGGATTCGCGAAAGCTTGAGCAGCGCGCGGCCACCATCGGTACATGCGCTGTCGCAAAAGCCTTTTGGCCCAAAATCGATCGCCATAGCCTTATTGAGACCAGGCAGTAAGGCTGGGAATTCCACCAGGCGCCACCTGCAGAAACTATATGAAAAAAGATGATATGAAAACAACTCAAAACTTTCTTCTTGTCAGTCTCAAGTTTTTTGGAGATCAAGACTTAAACACTTAGGAACGCATACCTTCAAACACTAGCCTAATGGAATATGTAAATAGAATACACCTTTCCGTTATTTAAAGCATATGATGCTCAGTTACCTCGTTTCTCTCTTGAGCATTAACAAATTATACTTGGCGTATACGTGCCCTCTCCCATTTCATCTAACCACTTTACTGTTACAGATAATGTAATTAAAAACTACAGTGAGATTCTTAAAACAATTAAAATATTATAAAGATAAAGTGTTCATTATTGTAAAGTGTAAAAGTATAAAAGTATGTTACGAAATCGAGTTCAATTATACGTAACCTATTTTATAGGGTTATAAAATTAGAGCGCAACCCTCAAGGTACACAAATGCGAAAATATGTGTCAAAAATAAAAATTTTTTTTTCGGGGTCCAAGCTGACAAACACTTTATTTAAATTGTATTAAATGTCTAAATCTTTTTGACAAAAAAGTATCCGGAAATTGTAAATAAAAAGCAAAATATTTAATTTTTCATTAATATTTAGTTTGTCGCCGTCAAAATAATCCCTATCAGTTACACTTATGCCAACGATTTATCCAGATCTCGAAACACTTTTCATAAGCACTTTTGTGGCCTGGTCTTAACCTCGTTCAGCGAATTTTGTTATATATCTACAATCGACTGAAAACGGGTTGCACGGAGCGGCAATTTCATGTTGGGGAACAAGAAAAAATCACATAGAGACAAATCTGGTGAATACGGTGGCCTATCGATGTTGCGTTTTTGGCTTTAAATTCGAACGCTCATGGCTCGATGTGACGGTCCAATCATTAAGTAAAATCCATGAATTGTTCTTCCACCATTCCGGTCGTTTTCGACGAATATACTCACGCAAACGCCTCCATGCGGCCAAATAGAACTCCTTATTGACAGCATATCGAGACATGATCTCGATGAATGTGGGATCGGAATTCGCACGATGATGCATGTCCAAAGAGACCTGTTTACGATACTTTTTTTCGGGACGAGTCGCGCAATCACTTGTTTCATAACCAAAATATCTACCAAAATCATTCGAACGGCCGCGCGAGAGATGTCGAGGTCTCTAACACTTGCCTGTCGAAATTCCAGCATATCCTTCACTTTTTAATATTTTCATCAATTGAAGAGATCGAAGATCATCCAAAACGAGGCATGCCTTCAACGATCTCTCCACCGTCTTTGAAAGCTTTGTACCACTCGTAGGGATGTGTGTTTGATAAAACTAAATCGCTGTAAGCATCTTTCAACATTCTCAACGATTCCGCATACGAAATTTGGTTGGAAATACAAACATTTGGAACAAATTCTTTGTTGCATATTTTTATTTAGTGCAAAAATCGCAACGCACTAAGAGATGTAATGACTTAAATAGCTGCTATAAACAAACCGGTTGATAAATCGCGCTCATATTTGGCCATGTAATTAAGTACCGTCCTATCAACTTAAAAAATACATTTTTTTGAGATATTACTTTAACTACAATTTCCGGGTACTTTTTTGTCACAATTTATATTCAATGTAGTAAAAAAGTGTACATGACCGCTTAAATGCCTAACACAAACGTCAAATATGACAGATATGTATGTATAAACGCCATTAAAATGTCAGTCGAAACAGACTTCTTGGAACACCCGGTATTTTGATAACATATAATTAGAGCATGATATGGAAAATGATTTTAGAAGAAACTTTGTAATGACATGAGTCAAATGAAAAACCGGATTTTTAATTATATTTTAATTAGCATAGGGCTTTCGAACAAATAGTACACATTTTCACGTATGTACATATTTAATTGATATATGTACATACATACATATGTATATATATGTATAAAGTTTCCAGCTTTTTACGCTTATTGCACTCTAATAACTCAATGGCAAACTAGAATTTCTTTTTATCTTATCCGGGTGGCAGTTTAAAGAGAAAATTATGCACACACGCACACACACATACCGTTGCAAACTTTTTGAGATAACAACAGAAAAACAACTGTTTCTGCTGCAATTTTTTTTACCCGGTAAAATAATTATATATCGCAGAGTGCACATCGTGTTACCTGAGCGCCAATCAAGCTGTTGACCGGTTGCGATGGGATTTTCGCTAGAAAATGCACGTGTAACCAATAAAGCGACTATTTTTGTAAACAATTGCAAATGAGTGTGGAGCAAATAAAAATAGAACGAGAGAGCATGGAAAAAGAAATGTCCGCTTGATGAGCGCATGCATATAAAGAGAGTGGCAGACAGTAGTACTGCTGCACCGCAACAAACCAGCTGACAGAGGGCCGCAACAGCGTACATTACCTCGCTCAACGTCAAGTGCATGTTATACTATTGAGATAACGACACATGTATGTGTGTATATATGTACATATAGTACATATTTATGTATATATGGTTTGTGAACATCGGCACTTACTATTTACCTAGAAAATTTACACTTGCCACAACGTGTGGGAGCATGCATTTTTGCTCTCTTGCGCTCAGCGCGCTGCATTGCAGATTTGCTACATAAATTTGGCATACATTTAGTCTCTTTGAGACGGAACTTTCGATTTCATTCATGCAAAAAGCATCTTTTCTCCAATATTATTCGCATTTTCCGCCGCAAAAAGATTTTTCACAATTCGCTTTTCAGTTGGATCCACGCTGTCGTCGCGTTAAAACCTAGACGACTTGTATACAACCGTACAAGTACGACGGACATTTGGTTTGACCAGCTAAAGAAAGCTCTAGCAGACGTGCGGACACGGCGTACGTTGCCATACGCGCACAGCGAGTGAACGCAAGCAGAACAGCCGTCGTGGAGCTTGTCGCGACGCGTAAATCATCGACAAAATAAAATAAAGAAATTCAAAGTAAAAAAAAATAAAATATATAAAAATTTAAAGATAACGTAAAATTTCTGAAAATTTGCTATTGTTTCATGATTATATTTTATGCAATTTTTAATTAATTAATAAGTATGTTTTCTATTGCGGAAACAAGCGCTTGCTAAGTGTTTACTAAATAAACTCAAGTGCCCAAACAGTGATAAAAAGTGTAATTTAATTACTATACATCATTAACAATGGACTTCGACCAAATATTGGAGGAAATCGGCGAGTTCGGTCGGTATCAGAAGACCAATTATCTGCTCATCTGTTTGCCGGTAATGTTTGCGGCAGCGAACAGTTTATCGTATGTGTTTACCGCTGGAACGCCGGCCTATAGGTTAGCGGACATAAATAATTTATCAATTACTATTATTTACTACTCCATACTATATATTTCCACCAATATTTATTTAAATTGTTCGCATAATTGGTTTATTATACGCTGAAATTTGTAACACCAATTAGAAAACGACAGATACCCTATAAAACATCTTCTTCTTTGTTGGCGTGGACACCGTTTACGCGGTTACAGTAGAGTTTAAAACAGCGCACCAGTTTCTTCCTTTTCGCTGTTAGGCGCCAATTCGAGATACCAAGTGTAGCTAGGTCCTTCTCCACCTAGTCTTTCCAACAGAGTAGAAGCCTTCCTCTTCTTCTGGTTTCTCGACGGAAACTACATCGAATATGCACAGAGCTGGACTGTTTTCATCCATTCGGACGACATGAATTAGCCAGCTAAGCCGTTGTTTCTTAATTCCGAGAACTTTATCCATTTGCTTCCTTGTCCAGTCTGGAGAAAGCAGAACTAACGGCGCGGTTCTTGATACCAATATCATCTGCGTACACCAGCAGCTTTACACTCTCATAGAATATTGTACCATCTCTATTTAGCTCTGCAGCTCGTATTATTTTCTTCAGCAATAGATTGAAGAAGTCTCATGGAGTCTCCTTATCTGAAACCTCGCTTGGCATCGAACGGCTCTAGAGATCTTTCCCCTACCTGAAGGAGCTTCTGGTGTTGCTCAAAAGTATTACTTTGCGGGGATACCAAGTTCAGACACAAAGGCAGTGAAACAGCTCCATTTCGTGCTGTTGAAGGCAGCTTTTAAATCGAACACCGCCAGGTGTATGTCGATATTCCTATCACGGGCATTTTCCAAGATTTGGCACATGGTGAAAATCTGGTCGATTGTAGATTTTCCAGGTCTAAAGCCAGACTGATAAGCACCAAACAGTTTGTTGATGGAGGGCTTTAGTCTTTCACACAGTACGTTCGATAGAACCTTATATGCGATGGGCTTAACCCATGGTGGTTGGCGCAGATTGTAGAGTCTCCGTTTTTTGTCGGTTTTTGGTTCAGGACAATTGCATCACCAGAAATTTACCCTTTGGTGCTAGTAGTAGTATGGCGGCTTCTTTTGGCTTTATTTATTTCAAAACGAGGGAGGAAATTATATTACCACCAATAACACAATGTTGGCCGCCAAGATCATGCGATTTAACACTTCTAAATTCACTAGCGTTATGCTTAATCAAAGGTTTACGCCAACCAACTAGCAACGCTCGAGGAGCTCAGAGCCATGATTCAGCGCACCACAACCGAAGTGCTGCATGGGGTCATCGAAAATTTATGATAAAGAATGGAAATATGCCAACAGAGACGTTGTAGCCATTTGGCCGAGATTTTCTTTAAGTCAAAAACAAAACTGACATAGAAAACAGATCCCTGTTTGATCAAAATTGAGTTTTTTATTTGATTATCGTTTCGTGTATCGTTTTAAAGAAAAATATTTTTTTTTTACAAAATTCGCGCATTTGGCGGCCATTCAGAGGGAACTCATGCAACTTTTCAATCATTTTCATTGATTTCTAGATTTTCTCAATTGTGGGTTCATGCCTCATAATCCTAAATAATAGATACAATATATTGCTTTGATATGGAGTGTCAGCTCTCTGTTCATCCAAAATCATTTTGCGGATTTTTCATCAACAACAATTAATTAATTCAACAACAATCACTTTTGAACGTTCTTCATTGCTCATATTGACAGAGAAGTGCTTAGACAATTTTAAATTTTTGGTGTGAGCATCATATCAACAGAAAAATTCTTCTGAATTTTAATTAAAATTATTTTTTGCGCTATGAACTACATGCTCCGATTTTAAGGTTGTTTTTCCCACCCAATTCAATAAACGATCATGCCCTGTCTATCCGTACAGAGCGTACATTATCACGCTGACTGCCCAGTATATTAACGGGTAAATATTTGTTAAAGAATCTTTCCAAAGTCTGGCAAGATCTCGTAAAAACCCATACTACTGAAATATACATACAATTATTGCATCCTCCTCATCAATTCACTAAATACAAGTATTCACACGCACTTTAAAACACCTCACAATCTCACGCAATCTACATGAATCACGATTCGGATATCTCAATTATCTACATTCTAACTTTATATATAATATACTTTATAATATCTGTATACATATGTATGTGTATGATTGTTGTTTCATGAAGATGCCTGATACCACAGTGTGATGATCCAATCGAGCCTCAATTACACGCACATTGGCTGGCCAATGCGACACCGGGCTCGTACGATAAATACGGGCATTTCACACCGGAAAATTGTTACCGTTATAAAGCAGTCAGCGACAATATAACCGACGTATATCATATCAGCGAATGTTCGAAGGATTTCTTCAATCAAAACATACGCGAGCGATGCTACTCGTGGGTATATGACGATGACGAGCGAACTATTGTGCAAGAAGTAAGACCAAGTTTAAAAATAATTCGACTAGATACCTTTATTTGTAAAAAATTTTTTGATACCAATTGGTTTTATAATTATGGATATTTTATATTTTCGAAAGATTGAACTGAAATCAGTTTGATTAGTAACTCATTACTAATTCTTAATATATTTCTAGCCTTTAATATATCCGATAGACCTAATAATAAGATACTTTGGAATCTTTACACATTTAAATATCTGTACCCTAAATTTACAGCTTTTATATTTTTTATTTTAAAATATTCCAAATTTCTCTTACCTCAGTTAAATTTTCCAATTAAGATGGTTAACTCTGTTAATTGCTACCGATTACAAAATTTCCTGATGTAATGGGTTCAACTGAGACTTTTTGACAGACCTGAATTAATATCACGCACAATCACAAATTAGACCGAACTTATAACAAAACTCTACAGATAGTAAAAATAAATCTATAATTTTTGCCATAACTTGAAGGTTTTTATTAAGCATAGTTAGAATAATCCGATCTTAGTCAAATCAGTACCGTTATGTCCATGAGCCATCCCCACTTTGCAGGTAATTTCATAATACCACAAATTCTCAAAGAAACCCCCCATCTCTATTGGCAAAAACCTGGGGCAATGGATTTCCAAAAGCTTCTCTGCAGGCGAGGTTTTCACCAGCAAAATTATTTGCCTTACACGTGAACAAGTAGTAATCCCACGGAACCAGGTTTGGACTATAAGGAGGATACATAAAAGCCTTCCAACCAAGGTACCGAAGTTTCTGACGTTTTACTAAACATATGTTTTCTGGCGTTGTTCTTATTGTATATGACTTTCTGTCAATCGTTTGGTAGCAAAACCTGTCTGAGTTTAGGCTTTATCGAGGGATCATGCCCTGAAAAACAGTCTTCATATACCCTCCTCCACTAATAGCGAATTGACTTCATAAGCTGAGATTGCTTTTGTGGTAGTACCGCTTGACTATCCCTGCGTATAGCGATACGTTGGTTGCGGTCCCACAATGCCTGCTACAATATCCTCCGGTGTTTTCATACCGTCAGTGTACCACTGGATAGTGCTGTCCTTCAGTAGCAGATCGAGTGCTGAATCACTTCACTCCGTCTTACTGACGAAAATAACTTTAAACTTCTTTGTGAAGTTTACCCTCTCCATAACGCCATCTCTTGGACGAAGGGCCAGTGGTGTCTAACTATAAGGCCTTTATCTGTTGAGACGAAATTATCTTATCTTCCCTTTGTCATACCCCTGAGCTCCAGCTTGACTACAAATGCTGCGGTTAGGCAAGTACGCATTTGCTGCTGAAGGGCAGACGTAAGCGAGTCTTTACATCTTCGATAGTTGAACACCTACCGAAGATTGCGTTGCCTTCGATGCCCAAGCAACCACTCCATATGTCAAAATAGGCCTTACGATCATGGTATACAACCATCTGAGGATAACTGACTTGAGTCCCAGGATTTAACAGCTAGGCGCCTAAATATGATTGGTCTCGGTGGCTCTGAGTAGTGTTAATTCCACACGCCTATTTCGTCTAATGACATGCCTGGAAATTTGACCTTATTAGACACCTCCAACTCTTAGCCATAAAGAGATGGGACCATAAGCCCGGAAGAGATCTTCTCTTTGTGAAAGAGACTACGGTTTTTTTGATGGGTTGATGTTTAACCATCCCTTATCTAAACTTCAGCATCTTTGGTCTATGTCGCAAAGAATATTCTCAAATTTACCTCGTGCCATTATGACTATGTGATCGGCGTACCCCTGGCACCGAATACTATTGTTTGTGAGCAACTCAAGGACCTCATCTACTACTAGGCTCCATAGTAAAAGGGGATAGAACTCAACCCTGTGGGCAGCCATTCGTAGTACCAAGACGAATCTTTCTCTCCCCCACAGTGATTTCAGCTATCAGGGTACAGGGTTGCCACCAGTATATTTTTATTACATTATTCATAATGCATATGCAGAGCCACATTCTCCAAGTTCTATATTATTCAATAAATATGAAAAGTAAATGAATATGATATTCCCACAGTGGCAGTTAACTTGTAAAGAAAACGTTTGGAAGCTCGCTTTTGTGGGCACAATGCATTTTGCGGGACTCGTAGTGGGAACAGCAATCTCCGGATATCTAGCCGATCGGTACAGTAGCCAAAAAAATAAATATTTTTACTAAGCATTACGTCTAATTAACATAAACACCCTACCAACAGCTTTGGACGGAAGAATATTTTTATACTCTGTAGCGTCTTCATGGCCATTACAGGCATTGCACAGGGTCTCGCATGGGACTACAATAGCTTCTTAGTTTTCGCATTTCTCAATGCAGTCGGCACTTCGGGTGTATACCCGTTAGCCTTCATTATCGGGGTGGAAATGGTGGGTCCCAGCATGCGAGAGATGTCCTCGATAGTACTGAACTACTTTTATGCCGTTGGTGAAGCGCTGGTGGGTGCAACCGCTTGGCTACTACAAGACTGGCAGCTAATACAATACGCGCTGTCGGTGCCACCGCTCTTCTTCATCGCCTACTATTGGTTCGTGCCGGAGTCAGTGCGTTGGCTCCTCGCACGAAATGAACGCGAAAAGGCGGGTGTGATTATAAAACGCGCTGCAGCCATTAATAGGCGAGAACTCTCGCTGCAACTACTGGCCAGTTTTAAGACCGAAAATTGTGTGCCACCACCAACGCCGACGAAAGCGACGGATGGCGATGCGGATTCGGAGAAGATGCGAGAAAATGGTGTTGGAGGTAAAAATGAAATTTGGCGCGCAGTCTGTGATATATTCAAGTCAAAAACACTTCTAATACGTTATGCGATAATGCTGTACATTTGGTAAGTGTGCAGTTTAACTAGTTTATGGAATTTATCACTTAAATTTGGCTTTGCTTGTCTAGTGTATAGAATTTATTTTGTATAATATTTACTAATAGGGCTATAAATGCGGTCGTTTTCTATGGACTCTCATTGAATTCAACAAATCTTAGTGGCAATAAATATTTAAATTTCGTTTTAGTCTGTCTGATAGAAATTCCCGGTTACACGCTAGCTTGGGTGAGTTTTTAACTAAAGTACTGTTATATATTATTATTCAATCATTTATTAATTTAAACTTATTAATGTATTATTTTTTGATACATTTTTATATATGTAGATATGCTTGCGAAAATTGGGTCGACGATGCGCTTTATCGGGTTCACTCTTTCTTTGTGCCGCCACTTGTATAGCGGGCGGTTATATAACTAAAGGTAGCTATATCATGTCTGTTTTTGCTATATATAAAAATAAAACTGACAAAATTTTGCATTTTTTAATAGAAAAAACTTATTTTTAATAGAACAAAAATATTTAAAAAAAAAAATTAAAAAGAAGTAATCAGAAAGTGTTAATATTCA